ATTCCATCATCCTTGCTGCGACATGGCTGAGCATCTGCTACCTTCTCATTTGTAGATGGGGCGGCCATGTTTACATAGTGCCTGATGGACATTGACAACAGTTCATTTGTACCAAGCATTTTTTTGCTTAAGCCAAAGGATCTTTGGGCAACTTTTGCTTTTTTTTTTTTTTTTTTTTTTTAACACCCCTTCCCCTCAACAGTCAGTTCATATCAACAGGACAAATGGAAAGTGACAATTCTGAATCATTTGTGACATGTAAAATGCTACTGTTTAAACAAATGTGTTTCCCTAAGAGAGATGGCATACCGCAAGTCAGGTCTCTTTGCCCCCGGCTTTTGATGAGAGGGTTTAGTTCCTCATAGAGGCAATGCTTAATAAATAGCATTTGATGAGGCTGCTAATAGTTTATCTAAATGTCCTGAGTATGTCTCCACGCATTTGCTGAACTGTGTAGTAAAGAGGGGGACAGAAAAAATCCTTCATTCCCCTGCCTCTCCCATTTGGCAGCTCCCTAGATTCTCTCAAATCATTGTCCTTTCTGTTCTTTCCTGTTTTTGAAAATATGAAAACAAGATGAGGTCGCTGCACTGGAGTAGTTGGAAAAGAAAAGGAGCCTAATGATTAGCAGGCCCAGGGAATAGGATGGGGAGAGCAGGTGGCAATCTGCTTTATCAAAATTTCTCCATTTGGTTCTGATCATATAGAACTGAGGCTCACCGATTATCTTCATTGCAGTTATTGTCCTGCTAGAGGCAGTGAGAATGAATTACCAAATGGTGGGATTAGCAGTAGACGGAAAGAAAAATGGAGTAAAAGGAATTGCAAGTTGTTCTTGATTTTCCTATCTTAGTTTGGATTCTGCCAGACCAGATCCAGAGGCAAGGATTCAAGCATAAACAATTTATTTGGGAGGTGCAGGAACCATTGGCAGGGAATCGAGAAGGAGCTGGGAAGGGACAAAGGCTGATAAGGGGTTGCTACTCCTGTGGAAGACAGGGGCTCAATCCCACTGGTGAACCCTGGGAATGGTGGCGTAGGGCACATATGTCAGAATGATCTGTCTTCCCACTTCCACTCAGAGAAGGGAGCTGAGGTATTTATACACCAGCTTCTGCGTGTCAGTGATGAACAGCTGCTCTCATACGGTGTTCTGGGCACACAGGCAGAATGGTTCTCTGCAGCTTAGGAGAAAGCCCTCAGGCAAAGAGATGCAAATTCTGCAGCTGAAAGTCAACCAGTGTGCACTGCTGTGGTAAAGGCAGAGGGCTATGGGCTGGATATCAACAGCATCTGCTATGTCCCCTTAAAACAAAACAGAACACCCACTCCTCCCCCAATATTTCCATATCACTAAATAGCACCACCATTTACTCAGCTTCTTATGCCAAAAGACCTTGGAATCTTCCTTGATGCTTTTTTGCTCTTGCCTCACATTCAGTCATGAATTCCATCTTAAAAATACACCTTGAATTCTGCTTCTTACTATCCCCACCATCATCTTTCACTGAGTTTCTGCAACAGCGTCGTATACACTCTTTCCTCTGATACGGTAGCCAGAGTGATCTTTTTAAACCTGAATCAGATCACTTTACCCCAGGCCACCAGCTCAAAACTATCCAGTGGCCTCTCATCACTCTTAGGATAAAATCAGAAGTCTTTACCAAGCTCCAAAAGACTCTACATGATCTAGCCTCTGGCTACATCTCTGACTTCAGTTTTCATCCGTTCTCCTCTTTGCTCACAGTGCTCCCACTAGATGGCTTTTCTTGCTGCACTCCTGCCTCCAGGCATTTGCATCTGCTCTTTTAACATGGAACACTACTCCAGATGTTCATATCACTCTGTCCTCTTCACCACTCAGTCCTCTGCTCAAGCGTCACCTCTTTAGGGAAGACTTCTCTTAATACCTTATCCAGAAAAGAGCCTTTTGTCGCTCTATTCCTTAATCTGTTTAATTAATTAATTTTTCCATAGCAGTGATCATGACCTGAATAATATTAGTTTGTGTTTTATTTGTCTGTTGCCTGTCTCTTGCACTAGAATGTAAGTACCATGAATGCAAGGACCTTGATTCTCTGCATTGCTCCCAGCTCCTAAAAGAGTGCGACACATAGTAGGCATTGATTGAATGAATGCATTAATAACCGTTTACTGGTCCCGCTGAGAGGACGCATCTGTCAAATTTTTTCAGAACAGACAGCAGAAACTGCAAACCTTGGTTTAATAACTGCCTGGCTGCCTCTTTTCTCAGAGCTGGCTCTAATGAAGAACAACTCTTAACAGAGTTTGTTGAAAGTCCTGGGATTACTTCCAACATGTTCTTTCCTGACGTCCACTGCAAATCTCAACTTGTTCATTTTTCTTTTTGTTTCCCTTTCTGAAAACAATGGAAGGAAAATTGAGGGAATCATTGTGCTACATTTTATATATAATGTTGGGGACAAAGTGTATTCTTGATCTTTTTTTTAATAAACTAGAATGCAAAGTTGGTTATTTCCCCTAGCGTCTGGCACATAGCATACATGTACTAAATGTCCAGTGAATTGGCAATGTCCTCTGTTTGATGTTATTAAGCTTTCTTTGTGTGCTAATTGTTCTGTAGAAGGTATTGGATTAGAGAGGCCACACCCTTAAAACTACCTAAGAGTGGGAGGATTTTCTCCATCACTGCCCCAACCCAGAAAACCCTTAGCCTTATTCATGCCCATTCCTTCTCATACATACCAGTCCATGATCCTAAAAATAGTCAGTAGAATCAGTTCTATTTTTGTGTGTGTGGTTTAATCTAATCCATTATAAAAGTAATGCAGGTTAATTTTAGAAAGTTTTTAAATTACAGAAAAGTAAAAGAGAAGAAGAAACATAATATGTAGTTCTATTACCCAGAGATAACCACAGTTAATATGTTGGTGTATTTCCTTTCAGTGTTTTCTATGTGTATTTTTACATAGATTGAATATACAATTGTATTTCTCTCTTAATATCATAAGCATTTATTCTTGGTACTCCGTAGTGTGAATATCTCTTTTCATAGTTGCGTACAATTACATTTTCCTGTTTTAGACCATTTACCTTGCTTTCTATTTTCTTAAATTATAAGTAATGCTGGATAAATATCCCTATAGGTGTATCTTTGCTGGCATTCCTGATTATTTCTTTAGGATAGAGTCCCAGAAATGGTATAACTAGTGCTAAAGGAGACAAACTCTTAATACATTTTGTGAGATTTCATTTTGATTTCTAAAACTGTTCAAATGTGACTTCCATAAAAGAGCTCTAGAAAAGCAGATTGCCTCAAAGAATTTACTTCCAGTTTTGCAACATTTCAGACATAGAGTGTTTTAGCATTCAGTTTAAATGAGCACAGAAATCTTCTGTAGGCTGTCTCCTCTTCAGGCCTCTTCCCTCTCTAATAAAACGCAGCATCGGCATTATAAAAAATCTTTCTTTGGTAAACAACGTCTTTTTCTGTTCTCAAGGATTATTTTCCTAAGTCTTTCTTGTGGGTATTGGGTTTATGCCTAGAACTTTGTGTCGTATTTTCGCTTGCCTGTTTATGATGTCTTAAGGGTTTAGTTATGCTTCGTGTGTGTGGTTTTTTTTCATTGCCAAAGGAAGTCCAGATTTCGTGGCTGTGAAACCTGCTCTTACAAGTCTGTCTGGGTCTTTCCTGAAAGGCCAGGATTATCTTAGCAGGGACTGTCCTCAAGAACATTGTATGGATAAGGAGTCCCCTCTCCAAAGCTAAGCCATCCTGGAAAGGGCCTTGCCAAAGACAAGCGGTTTATCAATGGAGGGAAACCACGCCATTCATAGGTATGAGAGGCTACGCATGCCATCTAGGAGGGTCAGGATACAGGATGGCCTGGCAAATGGTGTCTCAGTCATACTACATAATGTCCTGCGTGCAACATTATTGAAAAGAATGAGTCAGACGTCTCTATCTGATCTGAAAAGATATCCATGATATTTTGTTAATTCTGAATAACAAGATGTAGAAAAACATGTATGGTGTGATCTCATATTTTTAAGAAAGAAAAAAGGCAAAAATCATGTTTAAGGATTTGGGAGGCTGAAGCAGGCAGATCTCCTGAGGTCAGAAGTCCAAGATCAGCCTGGACAACATGGTAAAACCCCAACTTTACTAAAAATACAGAAATTAGCTGGATGTCATGGTGGGTGCCTGTAATCCCAGCTACTTGGGAGGCTGAAGTAGGAGAATCACTTGAACTCAGGAGGCAGAGGTTGCAGTGAGCTGAGTTCATGTCACTTCACTCCAGCCTGGGCAACAGAGTGAGACTCTGTCTCAAAAAAAAAAAAAAAATCATGTGTAAGAGAACCTTGAATATCTATATAAACCAAAAGAAACACATAGAAGGACACTTATCAGACTGTCGTTAATTCACTTGTACGCGGAATTGGGCTAGATGAGAATTAGGAACTTTGCTTTATACAACTCTGTTGAATAACCTGTTATAATGAACATATATTAGTTTTATAACTTAAAGGAGGAAAGCTAAAAAAAAAAAAAAAAAAAACGCTGAAGAGGGATAGAATAAGAAGGGGAATTTAGGAGCTACTTATGTGGGATCTGTGCAGGGTGGGTCATCAGCCTCTCTGACAAGGCTAATGCGTGTGCCAAGGAAGGTTCCGTCACCTAGAAAAGTGGGACTGAGCTGGCGTGTCCTTACCCTGACAGTTGCTAGCAAAACCAAATGTGTTGGCATTCACTGGAGATATCACACCTGTAAAGTCTTTTGGGAAAAAAATGGGAATGATTCAGAGAGAGTCAGGAATTGCCATCTGAGGGCTTGAGAGAGGGTGGCCAGGAGAGATGAGAGGAACATGCTTTAAAAGCCCCAGAATGGAAAAGATGGATTCTGCCTCTTAATCACAGAGCTCTTCTTAGCTGTCTGTGAGACAGGCCCCAGGCCTTGAACAAGAGACCGTGCCCCAGGCTTTTATTAACCTTCTTCCCTTGGGAGTGAATGCTGAGGTGTGTGTCTTTGAGGAGTGACGGCTTACAGGCTACCCGGCTCTCAAACTTCATTTGCTTAATATTCGATTTGTGAATTAGGGTGTGTTCACGGTGAATGGATAATTTAGATGGTGATGGGTCTGATGCAAATATAAAGGGATAATTGAATCTCGAAGTCTATTAAAGACTATTGTCTTACATCTTGTGGGATGACATTTTATTATGGGGGCCAACTTGGCTCTTGTATTCTGTTTCTTCTCCTGCCTTCCTCCCTTTCTTCATTATCCTTCAAAAATTAGATTTTCCCCTTCGCCAACCAGCAGTTGCAAAAAGTCCTCCAAGAAGAGTCAGGATGCCAGAAAGGAGTCCCTGGGGGAGGCAGAATTGCATGGCAGTCGGGGACAGGGACTCCAGAGTTGGCCACTAACTGTGGCCTCCAGCAAGTATCTTACCTCCTCTGAGCCTCAGTTTCCTTCTCTGTAAGTGTGGGTGATGCGGCTTGCTTTTTAATTGTCATGAAGATGAGGGATGGTGATGCTTAGCACAGTGTCTGGTGCGTTACAGTAGGCGCCGCGATCCACTGTTGTGATCAGGACTTTTGTCATTCTCACTTCTGCCACACATTTGCCCTGTGTCCTTGAGCAAATCGGCTCCTTCCTGTGGCCCCCTTCTTCCTCATCTGCCAACCGAACTCTCCGCAGTTCCCTCCAGTGATGCTCAAAAACAACAAAAGCAGTTGGATAGCAACAACAATAATAATTTAAAAAAACCCGCCCTGATTCCTCGGTCAGATAACGTCATTTCACTCAGGACTGCTCTCAGTAAGTGGGCCTCTCCTCTCAGAAGAGCCTGGAATCTCTCTGCTCCTCGGGGCTGCCAACCCTGGCCTTGTTCTGTGGTCTGATCCTCTGGCGACCTCTGTCCGCACACTTCTGAGACTGGCCAGGAGCCCTGGCACATTCACAGTGCACAGCCCGCCAAAGCGAAAGGCCTTTCTTTTGAGCAAATAGCATCATGCACGTTGCCATCAAGACAATGAAAGCATTTGCCATAGCGCGGCATCCAGCTTCTCTCCGTGGCCTTTTGAAACAATTTTGTGACCAGAGAATGGTTAGAGACAAAGGCCTTTCTATCTGATCTGCTCACCAGGCTGGCGTGGGATCATGGGGGGCCTGCGTCCCTCTTTCCTAGCACCACATGGATCGCTATCACTGCGTTTGTCTCCTCTCTTTGATTAGGACAGGCAGTCAGGCAGGCAGGCAGAGGGTTATATTTCAACTGCCCTTGACTCTGTTTATAATCACAAACATGAAAGGAAGGGAAAGAGATTGAGTTTACAGGACTGGTTCTTTGTGTAGCCTAATTTATCTCTCTCAGGCAGCAGTGGGCTGAGCGAGTTTCCTTTTTGTTTCCAATGCAGGAAACTGAAATATGAATCTATGTTGATGAGAGAATAAAGGAATTGAAAGAGGCATAAATCTTATCTTCTCGCAACCCTAGAAGATCAGCTTCTCGTGAAGAAGGGGATTATACTTCTGTAATTAACTGCTTTGCAGCTCCTGGTGATGGCTCAGAGCTGAATAATAGCACCCAGCCAAGTTGGATAAAAGGCTGGCGGGCGGGCGGGTGCAGCCGCTCATCGTGAACAATGGTCTCAGAGCTTGACATCCTTCCCCAGTGCCCCATGCTTGGAGAGTCCAACCAGGAGATATTTGTTCCCTGTCTATCAACATTCACAGCAGAGAATAAAATTACAGAACAAATAGCTCAATGAGACCTGTTCCGGTAGCTGCAGTGAGCTGCCTCGAAGGACCAAGCCAGGTTCTACACCTCTTTGTGTCCCAACCAGTGCCCAGGACCTGTTAGGTGCTGACTGAATGTCGGCTGGACGTGACTGCTTCTCAGCTGCTGTGCTGTCTCAGGAAAGTTGCCCGAGTTCTCTGATCTTCAGTGTTAACTGTCTGCACAACACAGGGGGTTCTTAGAGAATTCTTGTGAGGAAGAAATCAGATCATGAATATAAACAAATTACTTGTTACAGTGCCCGGCACATGGCAGGTGATCAATAAATGGTAGGTATTAGTATTACATTGTGAAATGAAAATGGATCGTGGACACATAGCCATTATACTAGTCAATATTTATGAGGCTTACCCTATGCAGACGCTGCATATCAATGAGGGCATGAAAGCCCCACAGCATCCCTATCAGGTAGGCAGGATTCCTTTCCCCCATTTCACGGGGGACAAAACGGGCTCAGAGTGGAAGGATGATCTGCTGTGGTTAGGAGCAGGAATGGAGACTGGCACCCAGGCCTTTCCCTTGTCCCTTTTTCCTTAGCCCTTGGCCCTCAGTACTGGAGCCACAGGCACTCACCCCCTCGACTCATTGTCCAAAACTCACCAACCCCAAGATCAAGCTTCTGAGCCATCTGTGCTTCCTTTTGTCCTCCCGGCTACATGCTGAAGTCTCTAGGAATCCCAAACATTCTTCTTTTAAGATGTTTCCAGAACTTCTCCCTTCTTCAATCCCACTGCCACTCATGCTGGTACAGACCCTTGGCTCATGAAAGCCAGGCGTCCTACATCAAGCAGGCACCCGAGTAGTGTCTCAGGCACAGGTCCTCTTTCTATCACCCCTCACATCATCCCTCACCCCAGTCTCCTGTCCTTTGCCCAAAGGGAGCAACAACTACTCCCCCGAATATTAAATCAGTTCCATGTTCCCTTCCTGGTATTCAGAGCCCTTTAGCTGACACACCCAAACTCATCTTCCTACTCACAGGCAGAGCCTTGGGTCCAGCTGAGCCCATCTCAGTTGCCCTCAGGCAGGCACCTGTAGCCACTCTGAGGGCTCAGTGGATTAGACCCTTGATAAAGACTCAAATGTCCATATTCAGTGCACGGTAAGTGTTTAACAGAGTTATGGAAAATAGAGATCATCTCTTCCATTCACCACTCACTCTACAGATGGAACCTGAGGTCCAGAGAAGCTCAATATCACACTGTGAATGAGTCTCAGAACCAACCTCAAAGCTAGGCCTTCAAGCTTAGCATTCAGTGTTCTTCCATTAGGAAGAACATACCACCCTCAGTAATGACTGGGCCATACCACCCTCAGTAATGACTGGCTGTCCATGGCTGGGAAGGGCAATTTATTTAGTACTCAGTCTATATGTGGGCCCTGGACCCATGTGGTTCCCCAGAGGGACAGCCTGAAACCTGCTGAAGCTCCAAGTTAGGTGCTGGGCACGGGTGTGATGGACAAAGGCTGTGTGGTGGTGACAGCAGGAGTGGGGGTAGGAGACTGAGGGGTAGGGGGATTGCTGTGAATCTCAGCAACTGTAAGACAGCGGAAAATGGCGTTGAATACCAGGCCAACGAGTATGCTGTGGGAACACAGCAATTAACTTCTCTATTTGGGTAGGAGATGGGATCCAGGAGGTCTTTAGGGAAGAAGTGGCCTGTGACTCTGAAGAACCAGAAGGACTATGTTCATGGCACCAGGGGGCAGGCATTCTGGATGGAGGAGTAGCGTGGACAGAGGCAGGGGGGCCAGACAGCCTGGTGTGGGCGTGGAGAACAGTGCAGCTGCAGCCAGGGAGCCCAGAAAAGCAGCTCCCTCTTCTGGCGCCTGGCCTCCAGCTCTAACTCTGCATCTGGGCTGACCCGCTCAGGCTCTGGGCAAGTCACTTTGCCTTCCTGGACCTCAGTGTCCTTGTATGTGACATGAGCATCATGAGGTTACCTCTCTCCTAAGGCTATTGTGGGGATTAACCTAAATAGTAAGGCACCAGATAGAGAGCCTGACACATAGTAGGTATTCAACAGAAGACCCAGTGTGGCTGGAGCTCAGGTTATTGGACCATAAGGACAAGCCGGGATTTGGATGACAGTTTGTTTTCTTTGCCTTCCAGTGGGCCCTTTCTGCTCCTTCCAGGAGCTCACCAGCTGGCCTGGGAGGGCTGCTTGCTCACTCACAGTTGCCAAGATGTTTGGCTGTGCCCCCGTCCAGAACCGTCTTCTGGTCCTGTCTTCATCCTTGAGCCCTCTCCAGCCTGAACCCAATGGGGGACTGCTAGTGTTCTACATCAGCCCAGAGTCTGCTAGCGTTCTACATCAGCCCAGAGTCTGCTAGCATTCTACATCAGCCCAGAGTCTGCTAGCGTTTGCTGGCAGGGCCCATGTTTGGGATCAGGAGCTGTGTTTAGGTAGAAACAGACACTGGAAACAGCTGCTGGCTTCTCTGCCATGGTAAACGGGAAATAAAGCCCCGCCACCATGGGCTTTGCCGGGGAAGGGGAGCACAAGGCAGGCCCTGCGTGCTGTCGCTTTTAGGGAGGAGAAGGCCGTTTCTCTTTAGGGAATGGGCCAGCCCCGTCAGGCTCTGGCCAGGGGTGGGGTGGGATGCGTGGAGGGAGTTAGAAACCCTTCTTCTCCCTGGACTTCTGAAGACACCATAGGCACTTTCTACAATTTGGTGTCTGAGAGAGAGGGTCATTTCTTCAAGCCTCTGTGGATGGACCAGTCAGCAGAGGCAGTTTCTGGCATGTCCTCGTATACTGTGTTGATGAGTGGTGTCAAACTTACCTTCCCATCAGCTTCACTTTGCTGATTCCCAGGCCCTTCCGAGCTTGCTGAATCATAATCTCTGAGGAAATGGCCCAGAAGCCTGCATTTTCACAAACTTCAGGTGATTCTGGCGCGGGCATTCAGGGAACTAACTACATGTTGGGGACCACTGTCAGGTTTCTAACAGGTTCCCTGGGAAACCAGGGGGAAGGGGCAGTCGGGCCAGCCCAACTCCCCTTAGTGTGCTCACTCTGTTAGGCTTTTTGACTTGGACTTGGAAGCAGATGCTTTTAGCTGCAGGTCTCCTTAGAAACAGATGCTCTCCCTGCTCTAGAATATTGAATAGAGTAGTTCCCCATCCTTCAGGTGTATCTCATTTGCTGTCCACTCACTTATCCATCTATCCACCCACCCACCCACCCATCCATCCATCCATCCACCCACCCTTTAATCCACCCACCCACATGCCCACCCATTCATCCATCTACCCATCCTTTTTGGAGTGCCAACCTGCTCTGTATTTGACTCTGGGCTGAGCCTTGGAGACATCAGAACTCTCCATTTAGACAAACAGACACATAAATCATCATAATACAGGGAGATTCTGTTCAATGATCAATGTCTCGAATAAGTACTGTGGTGGCACAGGCAGAGATGATGGACTCAGTGGCAGGGAGAAGGAATCAGAGAAGGCCTTAGAAGGCAGCACTCTGTGAGTGGGCCATAAAGGGCAGACAGTTTGCTAGATGGAGAGGGTGAGCCTGAGCGTGTGTAGGAGGGAAGGCCAGTCCTGTGAACTCAATTCTCTCACATCCACATTCAGAGCAGAGGCTTATTCCCCATGGAGCCTGTATTCGGAGGCTCATCTGTAGCTGCAACCTCTAAACTCGGCCCTATCTCCTGACACTTCTGAGTGAGAAGGAGCCACTCTAGTGTGTGTGTTGCAGGCCCGTGGTGACTGTCTCTTACACAGTACAGTTATCGCAGAATTAACAGGTGAACAGCCATCCAAGTGGAGAGGCATGGAATGCTTCCAGCCCTAGCTCTGCCTCCAACTCACTGTGGAACTGTGGACAGTTTTGGCCTCAGTTTCTACAGCACTAAGATGGGAGATTTCCTGCCTGGAGTGCAGCCCTGAGACCCTGCCTGCAAGAAACATGTTAGCAACGACCTTTCTGTCTACGCCAAGCTCATTTGTCTGAGCATATCAGCAACACAACACCTCGCAGTTCAGTGGGTTTCTTGAGCTCCCACCCCGCACACCTAGCCTGTACTACCTGCAGCTGAGAAGGGGCATTTGAAGGCAAACGGCACGAAGGAAGCCTGTAGGTGGCGCTGTGGCTCCTGTTGCCGAGCTGCTCCTCGCGGAGGTCCATTTTCAGAGGATCTGGGAAAACCGGGCAGGGTTGATGGCAGCTCTTTCTTCTCGGTGCCCTCGAAGTGCAGCAGACCCCACCTCTTGTGTCCCTTCGCACATTTCAGAGCTCTCTCTTTTCGAGGGAGAGGGAGGGGGAGGGAGAGGAGGAGGAGGAGGTTGGGGGATCAGGGAAGAGGAGGAGGAGGTTGGGGGAGGAGGAGGAGGGGGTTGGGGGAGGAGGAGGAGGGGGTTGGGGGAGGAGGAGGAGGAGGTTGAGGGAGGAGGAGGAGGAGATGGTGGTGGTTGGGGGAGCAGGGGCCGGTGCTGGGGAGCATTGTCTTCTGTGCTGGTCCCTCCGTGGAACCAGCAGGCACGGTCCCTCCGTGTGGCGCTTTGGCGAGCCTGTGCCCTGTCATATTTGGGTCACAGCCTCCCTGACCCCCAGTCCCGGCCAGGCACTCCACACCTGCAGTGATTCGCTTGATATTTTAAAAGCACTCCATCTCCTGCCTGCTGCCTTCTCTCCATTCATCTGGGCCCGGGTTTTCACCGAGCCATCTAATAGAAATCCAGGCGGGGAGAATGATGGGGGCGAGGAGAGGGAAAGTGCTCCGCTGGGTGCCGAGCACTTCCTCAACAACTAGAGCAGCGGTCTTTCTACTTTCTTTCAGCTGTATAACCCTTTCCGCCATCCAAAATCGCAGTTCTAACCTGGCCATGTGAAGCAAATACCAGAGAAGCGCCTCTGATGGAATGGGACGGGCACCTAAGGCCCTGTCTCTCACCGTTTCGCATCCTCCCCACTCCTAACAGACCCTTTGGTGCTTCCATGAAACCCGGATCTGAAAGCTCTGTGCTCATTAAGTCTACATATAACTCTCAAAGGAAATAGTATCCCCATTTTTCAAATATAAAGCTGAAGCCCAGAGAGGAAGAGTGTAGGTTCACACAATTTTTTTTTTTTTTTTTTTTTTTGTGATGGGGTCTCACTCTATCACCAGGGCTGGAGTGCAGTGATGCAATCTCAGCTCACTACAACCTCCATCTCCTGGGTTCAAGCAGTTCTCTGCCTCAGCCTCCCAACTAGCTGGGACTACATGTGCCCACCACTACACCCAGCTAATTTTTTGTATTTTTAGTAGAGAAGGGGTTTCACCATGTTGGCCAGGCTGGTCTCAGACTTCTGACCTCATGATTCACCTGCCTCAGCCACCCAAAGTGCTGGGATTACAGGCGTGAGCCACTGTGCCTGGCCTTTTTTTTTTTTTTTTTTTTCTTTTTTTTGAGATGGAGTCTCACTCTGTCACCCAGGCTATCTATAGTGCAGTGGCATGATCTTGGCTCACTGCAACCTCTGCCTTCCTGATTCAAGTGATTCTCCTGCCTCAGCCTCCCGAGTAGCTGGGATTATAGGTGCATGCCACCACGCCCAGCTAATTTTTGTATTTTAATAGAGATGAGGTTTCACCATGTTGGCCAGGCTCCTAACCTTAGGTGGCCAAGGCCACCCGCCTTGGCCTCCCAAAGTGCTGGGATTATAGGCATGAGCCACCACTCCCATCCCAGGGATATGATTAAAGGGCAGAGAGCCAGACTGAAGTTGCAGATGTGCTCCATTCCCAAGCCCCTGCCTCCACTGGCTCTGCCGGGAAGACAGTAAGGAGGTGCTTTGCTTCCTAAGGAAGGGCAGGAAGGGGCTTGGCTCCTCCAGCTGCACAGAGGACCAGGCCAGACATACATGGCCCGGTTTGGTGCTTGGATGTCTGGTAAACTGCCTGCCAAGAAGGAATTCAGGGAAGACAAGAAAACCGTGGATGGTGGGAAATACATGGGGAATGGGTCTGTACCACCAGGGAAGTGGTCTTCCAACCCACCAGGCTCCGACTTGGCTGACTTTAGAAGAAATCAGCCAGCCAGGGATTGCTAGAGATTCAGACACAAGCTTTCCAGGCCCTGATGGGTCCCTGTTTTCTTCCAGGACAACTGGGATCAGGGACTGTAAACTATGACCCAGATCTTGGCTCCCACTTTGCATATGAAGAGAAGATTGGCCCTTTAAAAGCAAAATGCTTGGGATAAAAAAAAAAAGATTTCACTTTTTTGCTTGGAATTTGTTGTTTGCTTGTAATCTTTTTTTTTCTTTTCTTTTGAGATGGAGTCTCACTCTGTCGCCCAGGCAGAGTGCAATGGTGCAATCTGGAGTGCAGTGGCGCCATCTCGGCTCATTGCAACCTCTGCCTCCTGGGTTCAAACAATTCTCCTGCCTCAGCCTCCTGAGTAGCTGGGATTACAGGCGTGCACTGCCATCCAGCTAATTTTTGTATTTTTAGTAGAGATGGGGTTTCACCATGTTGGTCAGGCTGGCCTCGAACTCCTGACCTTGTGATCCGCCCACCTCAGCCTCCCAAAGTGCTGGGATTACAGGCGTGAGCCACCGTGTCCGGCAGTTTGCCTGTAATCTTATAATGAGCATGGATTTGGATTCAGAAATATCTGTGTCAAAAGATCATGTTGGTGCTAAAACCTGACTTCTCTGCATCTCAGTTGCCTCTTCTGTAAGATGGCATCATGAACACTCCCTGTGCCATTGGGAGTGTCACTGGTTCTTGTGTGTGGAAGTGTCAGTCCCACAGCCTGAGGTGTGCAAAGTCAACAGTGGTTCTCTCCCCACTTCTACCCCCTGATTTTTCTCAAAGTCTGTTGAATGTACGATGTGTCCTAAACTGATGTGCTTCCACGGAGCACTGAGAGGATAGGCGGTCTCTTCTCACTGCAGTCACCTGGCTGAAACGCTCACCTTTTCATCATAGCATGTGAGATGTGACACTCTGATCCCCAGAATTGAAAACTCAGACTCTCAGAGAGCTCAGCATGGCAAAATCCAACCTCTTCATTTTCAAGATGGGGAAACTGGCTTGCACAAGGTCATGCAGCAGGTTTGCAGCGGAGCTGGAACCCACGTCTACTGATTCCCAACCTGCTGCTCTGTCTGTCATCTTGGGTGACAAGGAGCCATGGAGGCAGCAGGGAGGAAGGACCAGGGGATGCTGTCTTGATGCCTCTGGCCTGTGACTCTGAGGGAGGCTCACCCTGCTCTGTGAGCCCCATCACATGGGAGTCATGTGTAGGGGTGAGTGGCACCTCCTTTACAGAAATGAGAGCCCAAGAGCCAGGAAGAGTCCTGTCATCACCTAGATTCATCGGGATCCAGCTCCTGCCAGAGGCATTGAAGTTCGAGGAGATCTGTCAGACTTGGACTTGAGTCCCATCCGGCCTCTTGCCAGCACTGTGTGCCCTGAGCAGGGGATTTCTCGGGCTGAACCTGTTTCCTTACCCTCAAACTGAGGAAAGTAAAATTACAAACCCATAGGTTATTGTGAAGATTCAAGTTAATGTAATACTAATACTTAGTGAGCATTTACTGTGTCGGGTTGGGTTCTAAACTCTTCATATGTATTTAATCTTCATAACAACTCGTAGCTTGCTGCTAAGGAAATGGAGGTTCAGGTTGGTTAAATAAAGCCCAGGGACAGTATTGGAGAGGACAGTGCAGATTTTGAGCCCAGCTAGCCCAGCTCTGGCACTCCACTCTTAGCCACCGTGCTCTTTGGCCTCAATTTTTTTTCAGCAGAATCCTGTGCTTAGCGCATAGAAGCTCCAAAAATGTCCACCCCTCCCTTGCTGTCTGTAACCTGCCTTCCTCATCCACCCCTTCCGGCCCCGAGGAGTGGGTTCTAGAAGCAGAGTCCTGTTGTTTCTCAGACAGCAAAAGCTGACCCAACTCCATTGCTCTCTCTTGAGTTATTTTGCTTCTCCTTTTGTTGTTGGTTTTGTTCTTTATTGCTTATTCTTTGATCAAAAGCAAGACCGAATTGCCTACAAAAGGCAGTCTCCTGATTCTGTGCTCCCGAGCACCAAGGGAGCCTCAGCACTCAGCTAAGCTTCAAATGCCAGCCAGGGAAGGAGCATGGTTGCTTGGCTTCTAATTGCTCACATTCATGGCTAAACCCCCAGCCCACAGGCCA